GAAATTTGGATATCTATTAATATTATCAGTTGATGGCCAATATTGCATGGAGTGCTTGTACTATAAAATCCTTGTGGACAACACCAGTGTCCTACTTGACTTTATAATTTATAGTTAAGAGCACTAACTGTAGTATCAGACACGTCATTTTCTCCCAGTCCTCTGTACTTCCTTACTATATTCTTAAGCTCCTAAGCCTCAATTTCCTCATAAAATAGAAATGACATTATCTCCCTCACACTGATGGGGACTCTTAACAGAGATGATGAATATAAAGCTTTTAGCTTAGTGCTTGGTAAATAATAGGAGCCAAATAAATGTTAGCTTTTTCACTATTGTTGTTATTATGATTATTGTTATTTCCATGTAGGTCACACAGCTATTTCAATAAATGTTTGTTGAATAATGTATTTGTTTTCAGTTATTTAATATTTTTACCTTTTCTACAGTTCTAAATTTGTTTGAAAATTATTAGATATATATAGCATGTTAATATGTTTAATGGTATATCTTCTGGTAATTTAGATTTGCCACATGGAAGAGAGATTGAAATGTCTCTCTCTCTTTTTTTTAATTTTAGAGACCTATTACTACATTTCTCCATTAGTTGGTGTCTTTTTCTTGGCTCTAACTCCTATCTGGATTATAGTGGCTGCCAAACATCCAGCCACAAGGACAGTTCTCCACTCGGGCTGGGAGCCGGTCATAACAGCTATGGTTATAAGTAGGTTAGTATTAAAATATGTGTGTGTGTGTGTGTGTGTGTGTATTCTATATACATGTATGTGTGTGCATATTAAAACAAATCAATTTTTGTTTTTTATGTAGCCAATTCATTATTCTCCCAGGTAATAAGGGATCAAAGTGATAGAAGTTATTAAAATCAACAGACATACAGAAGCTTCCAGTTTCAAACTTCTAACCAACCAAAGCCTTACCAGATTGTTGAGTAAAATTTAGTGGTGTTTGTCTTTGTGTGTGTGTGTGTGTGTGTGTGTGTGTGTGTGTGTCTGTGTGTGTGGGTGTTAACCTGACAAGAACAGTACTCATTTTGAAAATTAAGTTGTTCAGATAAGTAACAGAAAGCCTTAGAAATGTATATAACATTTGACTGCTTCCACATCTAGGACTCTAACAAACTTAAAGATATTATTAAGGATGTGTGTGAAAAATTTAGTTGCAAGCATTCTCATCATGGTGAAGTTTTAATATCAAAAAATAAAATAACTTAAAGGTCTAGCAATCAGGTATTGATCAAATAAATTGTGGTATAGTCACCAAGTGGAATATTAGCCACTAAAAATAACATTGTAGTATTTCATTG